TATATTATATTATTTCAGGGATGGATTATTGGAATTACAAAATTTTGTTTTATTTCTTAGTTTTATTGTAAATAAATAAAATTTAATTATTTCTAGTAAAGCCACAAACACCATAAATTTAATTTCTTTCTCTCAGCCTTATCAAAATACCATTTTCCGATTTCAGAGTTAATACCATTTCTAGCTTTGGTTCATATTTATGTAATTTCCGTCTCTGTTCCCTTTGTGGACCAAGCCAATTACTAACATAACCATCTTGGGATGCCAACTCATCCAAGGGTGGCAAAATCTCAAAGTTGCGAACAATTTTCGAAACGGCTGTCTTGACTTCGAGCAATGCAAATTTTTGTCCAATACAATTACGTAGCCCTGCACTAAAGGGTACCAATTCAAAGGGTTTGTGAGTCTCTACAGCGGCGGCAAATCTTTCGGGATCAAAACGATAGGGATCTGGGAAGGTCTTCTCGTTATAACCCAAAGACATAATGAAAATATTTAGCGAAGTGTCCTCGGGTATGAACTTGCCATCTAACGGAGAGGAAGATTTATTAATGTTTTCTCTTAATTTTTTCTAAAAAATTCCTTACTCATATTATACTCCCTTTCGGTGTGTCTACCCACAACCGGCACACTGGGATATAATCGTAGGGTCTCTCTCAAAACCATATCTAAATATTTCATATCGGCAATTTCTTGAAATGTAGCACTACGTTTGAGGTTGTCTCCCATTATACGCTGTTGTTCTTCGTAGACTTTTCTTTGAACCTCTAGATGGCGTGACAGAAGATACACGGCAAATGATATGGCCGATGAGGTGGTGTCGTGCCCCTAAAAGAAATTCAAATTTTATTTTTAGTTTTCTTTAAGAAATTATTATTCGAACTTACCGCAAAAATAAATGTGGACACCTCTTCGTATAGCTCTTGGGTGGTAAAGGGTCTATTATCCACCGTGGCTGAGAGCAGGGTATCCAAAAAGGCTCTCTTGGGTTTGTTGAATTCATCGGCGGTATTTTCGTTGAGTTTGTTGAGCTCTTGTTCTTTATGGAGCTTTACACGCTTCTCAATGACCTGAAAGGGGAAAAACGAAAAGGAATCATTGGCATGGATTTTTTTAATATTTTTTCAGGGGGTACAATCGAAGAGTGGTTTTTGTACCCTTCACCACACTGTGGTACAGGGTATTATGTCTTTGTGCATATGTTGGTAACAGGCAAACGGAAACGATATAGACCCATAGTTCCTTTAGAGAATATGCATAAAATCACTTTTTAATACAATTCAACATGGTCTGTCCGGCCATGTTAAATTGTAAACAAAATACAAAATTCAAATCGGTTCAGATTTAGATATAGCTCCCATATATATTTTCGTCCGATTTTATGTAAATGGTGCACTAAAGACCCTATTTATCTTTCGATTTGCGCGAAAACTTGCATAGTGTACTGAATTGAGGCTAGAATTATGTGTGTCAAGTTTCGAGAAAATTGGGTCAGATTTAGATATAGCTCCCATATACATTTTAGTCCGATTTTAGGTAAATAGTGCATCAAAGTCTCTATATGTCCTTCGATTTGCAAGAAATATGGCATAGCGTACTGAACTGAATCCGAAATTATGAGTGGTAAGTTTTGTGAAAATCGGTTCAGATTTAGATATAGCTTCCATATATATTTTCGTTCGATTTAAGGCAAATGATGCAGCAAAGTCCCTTTATACCCTTCGATTTGCACGGAATTTGGCATAGTGTACTGAATTAAATCTAGAATGATGTGTGTTAAATTTCGTGCAGATCGGTTCAGATTTAGATAAAGGTCCCATATATATTTTCGTCCGATTTTAGGTAAATAGTGCACCAAAGTCCTTATATATCTTTCGATTTGCACGAAATTTGGTATAGCGTACTGATTTAAGAGTAGAATGATGTGTGTTAAGTTTCATGAAAATTGGGTCAGATTTAGATATAGCTCTAATATATATTTTTGTCCGATTTTATTTAAATGGTGCACCAACTACCCTATATAGTCTTCGATTTGTACGAAATTCGGCTTCACGTACTGAATTGAGTCTAGAACGATGTGTGTAAAATTTCGTAGAAATCGGTTCAGATTTAGATATAGCTCCCATATATATTTTCGTCCGATTTTAGGTAAATAGTGCACCAAAGTCCCTGTATGTCCTTCGATTTGCACGAAATTTGGAATAGCGTACTGAATTGAGTCCGAAATTGTGAGTGTTAAGTTTCAGGAAAAACGGGTCAAATTTAGATATAGCTCCCATATATATTTTCGTCCGATTTTAGGTAAATAGTGCCCTAAAGTCCCTACATATTTTTCGATTTGCACGAAATTTGGCATAGCGTACTGAATTGAGTCTGAAATTATGAGTGATAAGTTTCGGGAAAATCGGTTCAGATTGAGATATAGCTCCCATATTTATTTTCGTCCGATTTATGGTAAATAATGCACCAAAGTCCCTATATTTGCACGAAATTTGGCACAGCGGACTGAATTAACTCTAGAATGATGTGTGCAAAGTTTCATGAAAATCGGTTCAAATTAAGATATAGCTCCCATATATTTTCGTCCGATTTTAGGTAAATAGTGCACTAAAGACCCTATATAGTCTTCGATTTGTACGAAATTTCGCATAGCATACTGAATTAAGTCTAGAATGATGTGTGTTAAATTTCGTGAAGATCGGTTCAGATTTCGATGTAGCTCCCATATATTTTTTCGTCCGATACTATGTAAATGGTGCACCAAAGCCTCAACATTTCCGTCAATTTACTCGAAATTTGGCATAGCGTACTGAATTGTTTTAAAAATATTTTTAATTACTTAAAAAAATATTTACTCACATCAAATGTAAAATCCTTTAAGGTCTTTATGGCTTTGCAGTACTCCTTGTATTCCGGAAAGAACTGATATGTCAGCTTGCTACGTTTCAGAGGATGAAAGGCTCGCATGTTGATGTTGGCACACATACTACAAAAAAATATATATTTTTTAAAAATTTCCCAAAAAAAAAAAAAAATTATTTGAAAAAATCCTACTCACTATTCCACAGCCTTGGCAAATTCCGTATGCGGATTGTCCATGGCATTTATGGAGACACCCATGGCAGTATCTATAATAAAAATATTTTTTATCCAATTTTCTATCCAATTCTAGTAGTCTTCAAAAAACTTACCGCAAATAACATCCAATGTAAAATAATTGACCATATTTTGAAAATCAATTATCGTATCCCCCTTGCTGGCCTCTCTCAGCTTCTCTACGAATTTATTGGAATTTTTATTCATAACATCATGGAAATCTTGCAAAATTTTAAAATGAAATGCCGGTGTTATGATTTTACGATTTTTATGCCATTTCTGGCCGGTACCGGTTAGCAAACCATCGCCCAACCAGTCATAGGTCATTTCATAGATATCGGATTTTTTAATCAGGCTGGTGCTGGACAAAATGAACTGAAAAAGGGAAGAGGTTGGAAATAGTATGTTATTGGGTATTAATTTTAATTAAATTTTGCGACCCACCTCAACATCTTGCGGCTCAGTTACGAAAATATTCAGATAATAACCAATCCAAACGCGAAAATTGTGAAAATTATTTTTGTAACAATTATCGAATAAAAAATTTAAAATATCTGCAATAAAAAATTAAAAAATATTATTTTTTTAGTAAATAAAAATCAATTCTTAAATATTTTTAAAAAAATATTTTTTTCAAGCAGCCAACATAGGCGTGGATTTAAAAAAAAAATTTAAAAAGCCGACTTGGGTGGATTTTTTTAAAAATATTTTTCAACCCGAAGCAATTGGTACTTAAATTGTGCTTATCAATGAATGGCTATTTTTGTTCTCCAGAAGTAGACTGTTTCAAAACGGAATCGAAAAAAATTTTATTGACATTGTAGGAAATGGTAAAGAAAACCAAAATCACAACAACACAACAATACGATTTGTTTTTTTGTTTAATGCAAAAGAAGAAGCACTGAGACAATAACTAGTAAACCGGTTTTTCGAAATGGACATTGCATTCAGATCGACACAATGCTATAAACAAAATCACAACAAAAAGAAATGATTTCAAACATTGACATTAGTAAACATTAATGAAATAGCAAGAGAAAGAGAGAGGGAGAGAAAAGGCAAAACAATAAAAAAAATGTAATGCGATGCCAGCGAGACACCGATCTCAATTCCAACGAAACCCCATTGCTAACCAGCTAACGCACGCGGAATGAATAAATTTGACAATAAAATTTTTTAAAATTTTATTCCAAAACGGTTTAGATTTGGCTCAAGAAAATTTGTACAAAATAAAAAACCGGTTCATTTGTTTTGCAAAAAACCGGTTCGAGGTTTATTTTTAACCGGTTCCATATTGCAAAAAAAAATATATTAATCAAAAGTCATTTAAAATATTTTTACCGATTATTACAAATTTTCAAAAACGATTTATATTTGGCTAACAAAAATGTTTAAAAACTAAAAAATTAAAATCCGGTTCATTTGTTTGCAAAAAACCGGTTTGAGTTTTTTTAAAAACCGGTTCCATATTGCAAAAAAATATTAATCGAAAATCATTTAAAATATTTTTAATCTATTATTAAAAATTTTCAAAAAGAAAATCACTTATTGAAATTAAAATTAATAAAAACCGTTAGATTTTAACACAAAACCCGGTTCCAATTTATTGAAACACACAATTTTATATCAGTAATCCGTTGTAAAAATATTATAAATGATTTTATATAAATTTTTATTAAATTGTATTTAGTAAAATTTAAAAAAAAAAACAGAAAAACCGATTGTTATTTCACACAAAACCGATTCCATTTTAAAGAATTCCCAGTTCCAAAATAATAATATTTTTTTATAAAATACAATTCAATTTTTTTTTAATCAATTATTAACAATTTTCAACAAAGATCACTTTAAGAAATTGCAATCACGTTCGATTATCACACAAAACCGGTTCCAATTTATAGAATACACCATTTTATATTAGTAACAATCCGCTGAAAATATATTATAAATGAATTGACATAGATTTTTATTTAATAATATTTGATAAAATTAAAGATTCATAAAAAACCGGTTTGGTTTTCAGACAAAACCGATTCAATTTTCAAGAAATTCCAGTTCAATTTTAATAAAAATTCTTTGTAAATATTTTATAAGTAAAATTGTAACGATTTTAAATAACTATAATTTATAAAATTTTAAATAACTAAAGAAACCGGTTTCAGTTTTACAGAAAACCCGAATCAATTTTAAAGAAATTCCAAAACCATTTTAATACAACTTCGTTGTGAATATTTTATAATTAAATTTGTAACGATTTTAAATAACGACAATTTATAAAACTTAAAATAACTAAAGAAACCGGTTTCAGTTTTACAGAAAACCCGATTAATTTTCAAAGAACAATTTAGTAACTATTTAACGAACGTCATTCTGGCTCATAATAATTCAATCTTTTGGCCTTTAAACATTTTTGTAATATAAAAACCGAAAATCCGGTTCCAATTATTACCAAAACCCGGTTCCCAAATGATAAAGTCTACGCCAAAATTGACTACAGAGAACATTGTAATGACAATATTAATATTTTTCAATATAATATGCAAATATATCTTAAAAAAATAAAGAAACCGGTTACAGTTTTATATGAAATCGGATATTTTTCAAAGAAAAATTTTGTCGATATTTAACAAACGTCATTCTGACTCACAATAAATTATTTTTTAGGCCTTTAAAAATATTTATAATAAAAAACCGAAAATCCGGTTCCAATTATTACCAAAACCCGGTTTACAAATGACAAATTCTGCGTCTAAATTGGCTATAGAGATCATTGTAATGATAATATTAATACGTTTTCATTTAATAAGTTAATATATCATAAAATTTAAAGAAACCGGTTACAGTTTTACATCGAACCCGGATCATTTACAAAGAAAAATTTAGTAAATATTTATCAAGCTTCTTTCTGAAACATAATAAATCAATTTTTAGGGTCTTTAAAAATGTTTATAATATAAAACCCGAAAATCCGGTTCCAATTATTACCAAAAACCGGTTCACAAATGACAAATTCTACGCCAAAATTGGCTATAGAGATCATTGTAATGATAATATTAATATTACAAAAAAACTGCGATATAAAAACACATTTTCGAAGTTCCAAGACCAAATAACCGGTTAACATAAAATAAAAACCGGTCCCAACAAGAAATATTTGAATTTTTCATATAAATAATTTTTATATAGAAGTATCACTTTATATCTTTTCGAAATATTTTAAATTTGTCGAAACCCGAATATCCGGTTCACCACACCACATGTACTAATTTCGAAGCATCATCATTAATTCACAATAACTATAATTATTGAAATTCACATCAGTAATTGTATTTTGCAGTTGTTATTGTTGTTATTGCATTACCGTGCGGTGTTTTCCCCAACTGATGTGCATTTCCTATTAAGGGCAACATCTTTGGACCCCCAGTATGGGAAATTTGTTGGCGTTTTCGGGCATAGAATTGTTCTTTATCCACAACGATCCACAACAATGGCAATAAACATGTTAGTAACAACAAAAACATGTTCGTATTTTTTGAATATCTATTTGAAAAGAAAGATTTCGAATTCTATTTATTTGCGTTTTTATTGTTGCTATGCTCACTCGGAGCTGTCAGTTACCGAGTCACGATCGTTACGCTTTAACACTCTCAAGACTAATGAACTTCAGTTTGAAATTACTGAAGACATTTATACTGGAATCAAGGAAATGATATTTGATTGCATTTAAGAGACTTCTGTGTGTGGCTATAAGAGAGTGGCACACGAAGTGTTGCCATATTTTTGGTATACGTTTTTTGACCAAACTGGTCGGTATCTAATCGTTGGCTATTTTAGCTACATATGTAAAAAACAGACGTCGTGTTTTCGAAGGAACATTGACATATATATAGGAGCTAAATCTAAATCTGACCCGATTTTCATTAAATTTGGCACACGACATTCTAGTCTCAATTCGGTACACCAGCAAAATTTCGCGCATATTGAAAGATATATAGGGACTTTGGTGCCCCATTTACCTAAAATCGGACGAAAATATATGTGGGAGCTATATCTAACTCTGAACCGATTTTCACCAAATTCGGCACACGACATTATAGTCTCAATTGAGTACACCATGCAAAATATCGCGCAAATCAGAAGATATATATGGACTTTGGTGCCCCATTTACCTAAAATCGGACGTAAATATATATAGAAGCTATATCTAAATCTGAACCGATTTTCACGAAACTTAGCACACATTATTCTAGATTCAATTCAGTACGCTATGCAAAATTTCGAAAGATATATAGGGGTTTTGGAACACCATTTATATAAAATCGGATAAATATCGGATATATATGGGAGTTATATCTAAACCTGAACCGATTTTCACGAAACTTTGCACACATCATTCTAGACTCAATTGGGTACACCGTGCCAAATTTCATGCAAATCGAATGATATATAGGGACTTTGGTGCATTATTTACCTGAAATCGGACGAAAATATATATGGGAGCTATATCTAAATCTGACCCGATTTTCTCGAAACTTGACACACGCCATTCTAGGCACAATTCAGTACCCTATGCCAAATTTCATGCAAATCGAAATATATATAGGGGATTGGAGCACCATTTACATAAAATCGGACGAAAATATATATGGGAGCTATATCTGAATCTGAACCGATTTTCATGAAATTTGACACACATCATTCTGGACCTAATTCAGAACCCTGTGCCAAATTTCCCGCAAATCGAAAGATTTATAGGGGCTTTGGTGCACCATTTACATAAAATCGGACAAAACTATATATGGAAGCTATATCTAAATCTGAACCGATTTTCTCGAAATTTAACACACGTTATTCTGGAACTAATTCAGTACGCTATGTCAAATTTCGTGCAAATCGAAAGATATATAGGGACCTTTGTACCCCATTTACCATAAATCGAACGAAACTATATACGGGAGCTATATCTAAATCTGAACCGATGTTTCCCAATTTCAATAGGGTTCGTCCTTGAGCCAAATAAGTTAGCTGTGCCAAATTTCATCCAAATCGGATCATAAATGCGAACTGTACTTTGTTTACAATTTAACATCCACAGACGGAACCATGTGTCTATCTCCTTTCCTCTTGCCACAGTGTGGCGAAGGGTATAAAAATCCACACCAAAAGTATCTTCTTGAAAAAAATATTTAACCATTCTTTAAAAAAATCAAAAAAAATATTTCTCTTAAACATTTTTTATTTAAATTTAAAAATATATATATATATACAATAACAACAACTTAACTTATTTCTCATTTCCTCTCTCTCATTCTCAGCATAATACCATTATCCGATTTCAAGGTTATAACCATTGCCAATCGTGGTTCATATTTATGTAGCTGTGGCCGTTTTTCTCTATTCGGACCAAGATAATTGCTCACATAGCCATCTTTCGATTCCAACTCATCCAGAGCTGGTAAAATTTCAAAATGTCGGACGATTTTTGATATGGCCGTCTTTATTTCTAGAATAGCAAATTTTTGACCAATACAATTACGTGGCCCGGCGCTGAACGGCACATAATCGAAGGGATTATGTTTGTCATCATTATACTTGGCGGTGGAGAAACGTTCCGGATCAAAACGATAGGGATCGGGAAAGGTTTTCTCATTATAACCCAAGGCCATAATGAAGACCATGGTTGAGGTATCAGGGGGTATGATTTTGCCATCTAGTGGAGGGGGAGAGAGAAAAAAATTATTTTAATAAACAAAATTGGAAAAAATCCTTGAAATACCCACTCATATTATATTCCTTATCCGTTAGCCTACCCACAATGGGTACACTGGGATATAGACGCAGTGACTCCTTGATAACCATATCTAAGTATTTCATATCATTTATCTCCTGGAAGGTGGCATTACGTTTCATATCTTCGCCCATTATTGCCCGCTGCTCCTCGTAGACTTTTCTTTGTACTCCCAGGTGGCGTGAGAGGAGATATGTAATAAAGGACAAAGCCGAGGTTGTTGTATCATGTCCTTCGAACATAAATGTGGAGACTTCTTCGTAAACTTCTTGTATCGTTAAGGGACGACCATCAACCGTGGAGGAAAGCAAAGTATCCAAGAATGCCATTTTGGGTTTTTTGAAATCCCCATCAAATTTGTCGGTGCTTATTTTACGTTTGGCTGCTTCTTCTTCCTCTCGCTTACGGAGATCCATGCGTTTTTGGATAACCTGAAAAAGAAATATTTTTTAATATTTTTTCAAGGGTTCAACATAGGCGAGGCTCCAGCTATGGTCACTAGTTGTATAACACTGTGGTGAAGCCCATCTTGTCCTATGGCGCTCTTGTTTGGTGGAACTGTCTGAGCCTCAAGTCGACATCTAGTAAATTAGACAAGGTTCAAAGAGCCGCCGCGATTTTAGTTACAGGAGCCAGAAGGAGTACGCCATAAGCAGCTCTGAACGCAATGCTGTACTTCAAGCCTTTGGGCCTCAGCATTAAGTGTCAGGCTGCGCGTAGCGCCCTAAGGCTGTATGAACAAAAACTCTGGCGGAACTGTACCTTTGGGCATAGTAGTGTTCTTAATGAACCAGGTATAGCATTGGACCAAAGCGCTGAACTAAGCGACTATATATCACCAATCCTTAGATTTGACGATGTAGATGTCGTTATTCCAAGTAGAGACGACTGGAAACGAAGTAACCCTCCTCTGGACGGTCTGGCTCTCTCTCCAAGCTGAAATCTTCGCGATCTGGAAGGCAGCGGAATTGATAAAAATCTGGATGCTGAGGTCGTTGAACCGATGACTATCTTTGTGGATAGTCAAGCGGCTCTTAAAGCCATCAAATCCGAAGCCGTCCTCAAGTGTAGAGCAGCTCTGGAAGAACTTAACCATAGCTATAGGCTGTGTTGGGTACCAGGACATTGTGACATCTTGGGTAATGAAAGAGCGGACGAACTAGCTAGACGAGGATCTCAATCCACCGATCTAGAAACTGATGACTCAATCAAACCACCCATATGTCTTTTCTATAGGAATTTTGAGGCATTTTTTGACGAAAGAGCCTGTTAACTTTGTCATAACGATCCTAGGTGCAACGTGTCAAGATTCATTTTGGCCGACTCTGTCTACCAAAAGAACGCACTCACTGTTGAACCAGAGCAAAGCTAAATTAGAGTGATGACAGGAATCATTACTGGTCACTGCAACATCAGGGCTTTTACTAGTAAATGGGATCTTGATGCAATTGATTACTGCAGACTCTGTGTTGACGAGGAGGAGACGGAGACAAGTGAGCATCTCCTGTGTCATTGCCCAGCCCTGGCTTACAAGCGACACAGACTAATTGGATCTCCTTTTCTACCGAATCTCAGCTTCTTCTCAACAACCGAACCTGCTCTAATCTACAGCATAATTAGAAACATAAAGTGGTTAGGAGCATGCAACCTTGACACGTAACGCTTTTTCTGTCTTACTCATAGGGCCATCGACCTTCATTTATTTTTCACTCCTTTAATTTACTAATCTTCTCTCCCCTACAGATCTGTCTTTGGTCTCTTCTCTTCGCTGTATCTCTTCTTGTGGATGATCACAACGGACCTAACCAGTCTCAGAGTGTTGTAGTCACACATGTGACTGCACATCCCCAAACCAAATCTAAGCTATGGTCAAGGACAATGCCCATAATCTTCGGTGATGATCAGATAATAATTTTGGGATGAAGTGGACCGAAAACTTTTCTCACGGCGAAGGAAATATAGACAAATAATTAGAAGGACTGTACTGAATATTAGTTATATTCGGAAAATATGTCGGTGTGAGAAAGAGGTGCTATTGACCTCTAATCGGGCAAGATTGTGAAACTATCACGAAATATGACCAAGGCTCGGAATAAAAATCCGAATAAAGTTAGAGTTCCGTGGTAGTTGTGTAGGGTATCGTATGGTCGGTCCCGTCCGACTATACTGCTCCGCTCACTGGTTATAGTGGTTTTTTTCAAGGCGTGGATTATTTTAAAATATGTTGTACTCACATCATAGGTAAATTCCTTTAAAACCTTCAGGGCCCTACAATACTCCTTGAAGTCGGGGAAAAACTGATAGGTGACATGTTTCCGCTTCAATGGATTAAAGGCTCGCATGTTGATGTTCAAACAGATACTAGAAAAATAATTTAATTTTTTTTAATAATAACTTCCATTATAATCCATCTAGACTTACAATTCCACAGCCTTGGCAAATTCGGTATGGGGATTATCCATGGCATTGATGTTAACACCCATGGCGGTATCTGAAACCGAAACAAGTATGATTTTTTAAATTTTTTTATTATAATAACATCTTTCCGTTTACCACAAATAACATCCAATGTCAAATAATTAACCATTCCCTGAAAATCAAATATGTTATCACCCTGAGACACCTCTCTCAACTTTTCAATAAATTTACTGGAATTCGTATTCATAACCTCATGGAAATCTTGTAAAATTTTAAAATGAAATGATGGGGTGATCATTTTACGATGTTTATGCCATTTGCTGCCTTTGCTCGTCAGCAGGCCATCACCCAGCCAGGGGTGCATCATGTCGTAGACATCGGATTTGCCAATTAAATCGGTGCTGGCTAAGACGTACTAAAGAGGCAAGAAGATTTTTTGGAGAAAAATTTTTATTATTTTTATTGGGAAGTTATGGCAACTTACCTCCACATCTTCCGGTTCGGATATAATGAGGTATAGATAGTAACCAATCCAGGCCCGAAAATTACCATATTTATAAAAATTTTCAAACATGAAATGGACGGTAGCTAAAAAAAATATTATAAAACAAGGGTTTACAAATATTAAAATATCTAAAAAAAATATTTGTCTATTAGAAATAATAATTAGAAATAATAAATTTGTTCTCTTCTAGGTTCGACGACCCATCTAATGTTCGAAGACACGTGTTAGTGTTCCCATTAAAAATACCTGTCATACTTAAAATGTTTAAACAAATATAATTTAATAAATATAATTATATGCATTATACAAAAACACAAAACAGGTTCTGACCTGACTTCATCTATTCTATATCTATGTGCGTCACATTCAAATATAAGTACTCACAGCGGAACAGAAAGAAAACCCCTTGAAAAATATTTTTGAAAAATCAAAGCCTATGATAAATAAATGAAAAAAATATTTTTAAAAAATCTACGCCTTTGGTGGCTACTTGAAAAAATATTTTTAAACCAGTAAGGAAAGTAGTAAAGTCGGACTGGGTCGACTATATGATACCCTTCACCACTTGCGGTATATTGTACATATGAATCCTTACAATTACATGTCAATGTGCCCTCGAGGGAACATGCTCATATTTTTCTGCAACCTATGCTAAATTTATTTTCATTTGGGCAGATTTATGTCAATTCGGACGAATATATATGTATATGTGGGAACTATATCGAAATTTGAACCGATTTTCCCGAAACTTTCCATACACCATTCTAGACATAATTCAGTACGCTATGTCAAATTTCGTGCTAATCGGACGAAAATATATATGGGAGCTATATCTAAATTTGAACCGGTTTTTACGAAACTTTGCACACATTATTCTACACTCGATTCATTACGTTATGTCAAATTTCGTGCAAATCGAAAGATGTATAGGGACTTTGGTACCCAATTTACATAAAATCGGATGAAAATATATATGGGAGCTATATCTATATCTGAACCGATTTTCACGAAACTTAGCACACATCACTCTGGACTCGATTCATTACGCTATGTAAAATTTGGTGCAAATCGATGGATATAAAGGGACTTTGGTGCACTATTTACATATAATCGGACGGAAATATATATGGGAGCTATATCTATATCTGAACCGATTTTCACGAAACTTGGCAGACAATACTCTAAGCTCAGTACCGATTTTCACGAAATTTAACACACATCGTTTTAGGCTTAAGTCAGTATGGTGTGCCAAATTTCGTGCAAATTGAAGGATATATAGGGACTTTGGTGCACTATTTACCTAAAATCGGACAAAAATATATATGAGAGCTATATCGAAATCTGAATCGATTTTTACGAAACTCAGCACACATTATTGCAAACTTAATTGAGTACGCTATGCCAAATTTCGTGGAAATCGAATGATATTTAAGGACTTTGGTGCACTATTTACCTAAAATCGGACGAAAGTATATATGGGAGTATATATAAGTCAGAACCGATTTTCGCGAAACTTAACACACATCATTCTAGACTTTATTCAGAACCCTGTGCCAAATTTCGTGCAAATCGTAGGATATAAAGGGACTTTGTTGCGCCATTTACATAAAATCGGACGTTAATATATATGAGCTATATCTAAATTTGGGAGCTATATCCATATCAAGACTGGTGGCCAGATGCTGGTCAGGAGCATGCACCAGCTGATTTGTACAATTTGGCTACATGAATGCATGCCCAATGATTGGAACCTCAGCATCCTGTGTCCGGTGCACAAAAAAAGGATACAAGACGATATGTGTCAACTATAGAGGAATAAGTCTCCTTCCCATCGCATATAAAGTGATATCCAGTGTGCTGTGTGAAAGATTGAAGCCAATGATCAATGACATCATTGGACCATACCCATGCGGCTTCAGACCTCGCAAATCCACCATTGACCAGATTTTCACACTGCGCCAAATCCTGGACCCACGAAAAACACATCGATACATACCACCTATTTGTGGACTATAAAGCCGCATTCGACAGCCCTATCCGTTCAGAGGTGTTTAAAGCCATGTCTACGTTCGGCATTCCTGCAAAATTAATACGGCTATGCAGGATAACTTTAAGTGGCACAAGGTCAGCAGTTAAAGTACCCCCTTCAATACCGAACGAGGATTCAGACAAGGTGACAGTTTGTCGTGTGATCTTTTTAACACCCTACTTGAAAAGGTCATACGAGACGCAAAGGTGAACAGAAATGGCACTCTGTACACCAAACAACACATGTTACTCGCCTTCGCCGATGACATCGATATAATGGGTCGAACACTGCGAGCGGTAACAGCCACCTTTGAACAAACTGAAAAGGAGTCTGCCAAAGTGGGTATGGCAGTAAACGCCGAGAAGACCAAGCTGATGGTATCAACGCGCAAGACGTCCAGTAGACTCGGACCAACAGTGGAACTTGAGAGCTACAGCTTCGATGTAGTTAAAAACTTTATATACCTTGGTACCGCCATAAATAAAACGAATGACATCAGTTTTGAAATTCGTAGAAGGATTGTGATTGCCAACAGATGCTACTATGGTCTAAGTAAGCAGTTTAGAAACAAGGCCACCTCCCGCCAGACCAAACTCACACTTTACAAGACGCACTTTACAAGAAGGGGAAGGCCACGAATTAGATGGAAAGACCGAGTAGAAAACAACATCTTGGAACGTGGTCTTCCAATTAAATGAGCTGTGCCAAATTTCATCCAATTCGAATCATATACCACACAAGGCGTGGATTTGCAAAAATATATTTTAAACATATTTTTTAAAATAAAATAATTCTCATATTCTATTTCAATATTCTAGCCTGAGTTGATTCGCGTGCCTTCTAATTATCGGTCAATTCAACTTTTTTTTATAAACATCCAATTATAGATGTTTACAGTTATAATCTTGTCATAGATTAGCCGTTATGTATTTGCTGTTGTTGTGGTTCACCTCTAACAAAAGTATTCTGAAAATATGTGAAAATATTAAAAATAATGAAAGTTTTTGAATTGACGCTAGAGATTTTAATATTGATTAAAATAAATCGCATTTACAAATCTCTTAATTAAATATTAATTAGCAATGACATCTACTTGAAAAAAAAAAAATAGTCCATTAGGGGTACTATTTTCAGTGCCCTTTAAACCCTGTAAACAGATTAAACTAATGTCCATTAAAAAATAATTTTTTATTGTCAAGTTTTTTTTTAATACAAACAAGGGATGTCATGACCTTACTCAACAAAAAATATTTTTTATTGTTGTTGTTTTTTTTTTTTCTTAAAAATGCGGTCTCAAATATTATTATTTTTTTTCATTAACAAAAACCTAGTCCAAAGGGTCATGGGTGAGCCCAAAGCCTTCGGTATATGGACTACTCCAAATTTTAAATTACTTTATATATATATATATATTTTTTTTTTTAATTTCGATTTTTTTAATTACCTGTTGGAGATTTTCCCAACTGATGAGCATTGCCGATAAAGGGCAGCATTGGTGGACCCTTGGTGTGGGCGATTTGTTTACGAACTCCAGAATATTTAAATTCCTTATACACAACCAGCAAAAGGAACGATATTAATATCAGCAACAGGAACATTTTCAATATTTGATTGAAATATTTTTATTTAGAAAAAAAAACACTTTTTTATTATTCCGTGAGCTGCTTGCGGCAGCGTACTTGACGTTCTATTAATTCTCGTTTCAAATTGTGTAACAAATTTTATACAATAAAATTGTTACATTCTGCCAATGTTTCAAATTAACTTGTTTCTGAAATGATAAGGCGAGTGCAACTTTCATACGGAGAGAGAGAGGTTCACTCCGTTCAATGATAAGGAATGAGCGAGAGAGAGAGAGAGAGAAAGAGGGAGAGTTGCACTGAACATTGAACATCTTTGGTGTTGATTATCTGAAGCAATAAACAAATGTTATTGTTTTGCATGTTCGAAATTATATATACGAGGGTCGCCATTTGTATAAAGGATTCAATAATGAACTCATAGGGAAGAGGATGTTTTAAAAATATTTTTTTAAGTAGCCATCCAAGGCGTGGATTTTTTAAAAGTATTTTTTTTTTCAAGTAGCTACTATAGGCGTGTATTTTTATACCCTTCACCACACTGTGGTACAGGGTTTTATGTCTTTGTACATATATTTGTAACAGGCAAAAGGAAACGAGATAGACACATGGTTCTTTTTAAGAATATGCATAGAATCACATTCTAAGTCGATTTATGCATGTCCGCATATGTTAAATTGTAAACAAAGTACAGGTCGCATTTATTATTCGAATTGGATGAACTTTGGTACAGCTCATTCATTTGGCCCAAGGACGAACCCTATAGAAATCGGTTCAGATATAGATGTAGCTTCCGTATATATTTTCCTCCGATTTTAGATTATTCATACACCAAAGTCCCCAAATATATTTCGATTTTCACGAAATTTGGCACAGCGTACTGAATTAAGCCTATAATGGTGTGTGTTAAGTTTCGTGAAAAGAGGTTCAGATTTAGCTATAGCTCCCGTATATATTTTCGTCCGATTTACTGTAAATGGTGCACCAAAGTCCCTATATATCATTCGATTTGCACGAAATTTGGCACAGCGTACTGAATTAAGCCTAGAATAATGTATGCTAAGTTTCCTGAGAATCGGTCCAGATTTAGATATAGCTCCCATATATGCTTTCGTCCGATTTACTGTAAATGGTGCACCAAAGTCCCTATATATCTTTCGATTTGCACGAAATTTGGCACAGCGTACTGAATTGAGCCTAGATTGATGTGTCCTAAGTTTCGTGGAAATCCGTTCAGATTTATATATAGCTTCCATATATATTTTCGTCCGATTTTAAGTAATTCATGCACCAAAGTCCCCATATTTCTTTCGATTTGCACGAAATTTGGCATAACGTAATGAATTAGATCTAGAATGATGTGTGTTAAATTTCGTGAAAATCTGTTCAGATTTTGCCATAGCTCCCGTATATATTTTCGTCCGATTTAATGTAAATGGTGCACCAAAAACTCTAAATATCTTTCGATTTGCACGATATATGGCAAAGCGTACTGAATTAAATCTGGAAAGATGTGTGTTAAATTTCGTGAAAATCGGCTCAGATTTAGATATAGGTCCCATATATAGTTTGGTCCGCTTCTATGTAAATCCTGCACCAAAGTACCCATATATCATTCGATTTCTACGAAAATTTGCATAGTGTACTGAATTGAGTATAAAATGACGTGTGTCAAGTTTCGAGAAAATCGATTCAGATTTAAATATAGCTCCCATATATATTTTCGTTCGATTTTGTGTAAATAGTGTACCAAAGTCCCTATATATCTTTCGATTTGCACGAAATATGGCACATCGTACTGAATTCAATCTAGAATGATGTGTGCTAAGTTTCGCGAAAATCGGTATAGATTTAGATATAGCTCCCATATATAGTTTTGTCCGATTTTATGTAAATGGTGTACCAAAGTCCCCATATATCTTTCGATTTGCACATAATATGGCACAGCGTACTGAATTGAGCTTAGAATGATGTGTGCTAAGTTTCGTGAAAATCGGTTCAGATTTACATATAGCTCCCATGTATATTTTCGTCCGATTTAAGGTAAATAGTTCACCAAAGTCCCTATATATCTTTCGATTTGCACGAAATTTGGCAAAGGGTATTGAATTGGGTCCAAAATTATGTGTGTTAAATTTCGTGAAAATCGGTTGAGATTTAGATATAGCTCACATATATATTTTCGTGAAAGTCGGTTCAGATTTTAATATAGCTCCCATATATATTTTCGCACGATTTAAGGTAAATGGTGCACCAAAGCCCCTATATATCCTTCGAGTTGCATGAAATTTGGCATAGCGTTCTGAATTAAGTCTGGAAAGATGTGTGTTAAATTTCATGAAAATCGGTTCAGATTTAGATATAGCTCCCATATATAAGTCTTACTTCCTTACTGGTTTAAAAATATTTTTTCCAGCAGCCAACATTGGCGTGATTTTTTTTTAATATCTCAAAAAAATTTGAATAACAAACTTCCGATTTTAATTATTTTTATTCATATTATTTTCTCTCTTTTATACGTATAAACACCCCATTTGCTGATTTAAGTGTCAAAACTGTCGATAGTATCGGTTCATATTGTGATGCTCTCCCGTTTTCCAACTTCTTATGGGGTCCAAAATAGGTCGAAACATATCCATCCTGCGACACTAATTCATCCAATGCTGGTAATATTTCAAATTGGCGAACAATTTTCGAGAGCACAGTTTTAAATTCCAATATGGCATATTTCTGGCCCACACAATTACGTGGCCCTGCACTGAAGGGTACACTCTCAAAAGGATTGTAGCCAGTGGCACGTTCATGAAGGCTATTAAAACGTTCCGGATCAAAGCGATAGGGATCGGGAAAGTTACGCTCATTATAACCCAATGACATGAGGAAAAGAAGCAACGTGGTTCCTTTGGGTACGAATTTGCCGTCTGAAATAAAAGATAAGGGAGAGTATTATTTCAAATGTTCTCTCTACGGAAAAATTCTCACTTGAGAGATTTCAAGAGAGAGAAAGAGAGAGGGAGAGAATGATAATTCTCAACATTTCTCCCCTAATTTTTCAATGAAATAATTTGTAATATTTTTTTAATCTCAAACTTACTCATGGTAATATCCTCCTGTACAGCTCGGGCTACTAGCGGCACACTGGGATAAATCCGCAGAGTCTCTTTTAGTACCATATCCATATATTTCATTTCGCTCAGCTCCTGAAAAGTAGCATCACGCTGTAAATCATCAAACATAATTCGTTGTTGTTCTTCGAAAACTTTCTTTTGCACCTCAGGGTGGCGGGATAGCAGAAATACGGCAAAGGTCAAGGCGGAACTGGTGGTATCCTGACCCTAAAAAATAAAACTTATTTATTAAAAATTCAAAAAAATAAAATATTGGCCCTTATAGTTACCGCAAACATAAATGTGGACACCTCTTCGTAGATCTCTTCAGGGGTCAAAGGACGTCCATCAATGTTGGCCGATAGCATCGTATCCAAAAAGGCATGACGATGTTTTGTAAAGACATCATGAGATTCTGTTGAGCTGTCGGGTAGATTTTGCCCCAAACGCATTTGCATGCGCTTTTCGATAATCTGAAAATCGAAAAAATAAGGATAAGGATAGCTTAAAGACTGCGTAGGTGTTGAGGTGCTGTATAGAGCTCTATAGAGGCCATAACAAGTGATGTGGATACCACTAGAGGTCTTAATAGACAAGGATAAGTTCTATAGAGGCCCTGGTAGGTATTGGAGAGCCTTATAGAGATTTGAATAGACGATGACGAGATGGTAAGAGGTCTAACTAGGTAAGGCGGATTTACTTATATTTGAGGAGCTTTATAGAGGTCCGAACAGTTTTATGAAGAGTTCCCTTGAAGTCTGAGAGTTTCTTACATCTGATTAGAAGTATGAGTAGGCAAGGAGGAGGTGTATGGTGGTTCAACTGATATTGACGAGCTCTCCAGAGGTTAAAACGGGCGATGAGGAGGTCGCTAGTTGTTTCAGTACATAAAGCGGAGCTTTTAATATTCCAAATATTATGTCCAAAAAGGACATGAAGAGTTCCTTTTTGTATGCAGAGGTTCGAACAGCTGATTAGGAAGTCAATTGAGGCCTACGTAAGTAAGGAGGAGCTCTGTAGAGGATGCGAGATGTCTGAGTAAGTAAGGCGGAACAAATATGTAAAGAGGAGTTTTATAGAGGTCCGAATACGTATTGAGGAGCTCTATAGAAGTTCGAACAGCTGATTATGAGGTCACTAGAGGTCTGAGAATATTAGCTGGAACCCTATGGAGATCGGAAAAGGTGACGAGAAGATCGCTAGAGGTCTGAATAGGCAAGGAGGAGTTCTATAAATGTCAGAACAGACGATGAAGAACCCACAAGAGGTCCGAACAGGTGAAGAGGAAGACAGAGTTGGTCTGATGAGCTTTATAGAGGATCGGACTGCTAATGAGAAGGTTTTTCGAGATGTAAGAAGGTAAATAGGAGCTTTATGGTGGTCTGAACAGGTGATATAGAGGTCCCTTAATGTCATAATAAGCATGAAGAAGGTCTATATAGGTCTTAGTAGGTATTGACGAGCTCTATAGAGTTTCTAACAATCGATGTGGTGGTACATAGATGTCTTTAAAAGTAAAGCGAAATTTTTAATATTCCAAATATGTAATGAGGAACTTTTTAGAGGTCCGAACAGATGATGAGAAGAAAGAAGTCTCTAGAAGTCCGAATAGGTGATGTGGAGACCGCTAAAATTCTGAATAGTTAAAGATGAGCTCTAAGTTGGTATTTAGGATCTCAGTAGAAGTTCGTATAGATGATGAGGAGGCTGGAAGAGGTCAGGAGTCTTTTAATTCCAAGTTTTTAATGAAAAGCTCTATTGAGAAATTGAGAGTCGAACATTTGTCTACTTACATTATATGTAAAATCCTTGAAAACACCGACAGCCTTGTGTAACTTCTTACATTCCGGAAAGAATTGATAGATGTTCATGTTACGCTTTATCGGATTAAACATTCGCATTAGGCAGATT